CGGCTGAATTTAATGGGTAGGCACACACTCTGATTCTGGTGTTTATTTGACTGTGAAGAGAGAGAATGAGATAGTGGAGCAAGCCTAACGGGACCGTTTCCTTACCCTTAAGGTTTGCTGACGGTGAACAACAGGCACAGCAAATGCTTATTCCGATGGAGCGGCCAAGGCGGCATCGAGTTTGCAAGACTCGTCCGCCAACCAATGTCGCTGAGGTCATCGCAGTCGAAGACTGGGAGCAACACTGGCAACAAGGGCAATATCAACAACAGCGCCAGCAGCAGCAGCTCAACTTCTCCTATAGCGGTAATCCCCCTCTGTGCTAAATCTACAGACACCCACATCGTTATTCCCACACGGTCATTGAAGACTGGGATGAACTTCCTTCCTCAATTGTTCTTGCTGAAAGCGTCAAGGTATTTAAAAGAAGGCTTGATCTTAATTTATTTCCTGGTCATACATTTGGTAGACAACAACGATTTATATAATGTATATATGGCTTTGAACCACATGCATGATCTGACAGCATCTATCTGTAAATAGATTTTCAAAGGCTCTGCCAAGTTCCCTTATATATACTGAATTATATACGAAGAATGTAAACCAGATGATGATGAACTGTTCAGTCAACACTTTGCATTTATGCTCAATGTCGTCAACTTTTATGATAATAATAATGTAACACAACAGAGTAAGTTGGTCCTAAAAATATATTTTTGTGTGTTCTGTGAACTTTTCTGGATTGTATTTGCAACCGATCGTGAAAGGAAATCTCTCTTAGTGAACTTCCGCAACGAACACCTGCGACCAGCATTTCGTACAATACAAAAAGGCTGTCGATAAAATACTTATTCTACATAACAACCTCAATTCCCTATGCAGTTATACAAATAAAGGACCGAAAAAGTAAAAATTGTCCAATCCATATAATGCTCCCGTTCATAATAATAATATCCCTTAGCTTGCTTCTGATAGACGATAGCTTCAAACAAGACTACAAAGCTGGAACTCAGAAACTGAATGATATTAGCAAGTCAGCCGTGCATAAACCAACTTATTCAAATAAGAAAAATATCGCCCATATTTTGGAAAGTACTCGTCATCCCATCTACTTCAATTAAATGTTCTGTTATCGAATGCATGAGAAAGTATACTTATGTGTAGGGGCGCATTCTATAGATGACATGAGGTCACTATGAACCTCACGCCAGATGAACCAATTCGCATTGTATTTTATTATAAACAACGCCTGGAAACGATCGCCATTCTGCAAGGTTTCTTCAATTACATTATATTACCTTGTTCACGATTCCTTGATGTATCGTACGTCCTTTAAGCAAATATTTATTTCAGCCATGTCAACCAAACGTTTCGTCAAATAAACTGAAATTAAAGCCACTGTCATAAAACATGACTCCGAAATAAAGTTAAGGACACATTCCGTTCGCTATCGACCATGGCTTATAATTTAGTAGCAAAGGTCATTCTTTCACTATATTTAAATGTAATATAATATGCTTTTTTATACTGTCCCTCCACCTACACTTATTTTTGCAGGAGCGACCAAAAAACCTTGACGAAACTGAAAAATGAGGTGGCTCTTATCTGGGTGTACTCTCATAACTTCTAATGAGCTAAAAAGCAGTTCAATCCTATGAATAAGTGCGGTAACAGATGGGTCTGAAGTCTTCGGAGGATGAAGTGAGAGTAAGCCATTAACTAACCAATATTTTATCTTTCTTCTTCTGAATAGCCTGAAGCGTAGAAGATCTGACGTTCTTCTCTCGTATTTTACTATAAATGCCCCACTACCTTCGGCACCTATAATAATATTATATGTGGTATATAATTTAATTGATTAAAGTATGATATATCATTGTTATAACTATGGTGTACCATTGTAATAGCATGATATACACCATTATATATGTATTTACTGTATGTAATATCGCTTGCTTCTAGGGATAACTCGATATGCATAAATGTTCCGACGCAGGCGCCTCAAGGCCTGAATATTGGCAGAAAATTGTCTGGGGCTGTGAACTGCGAAACTGCTGTTGAAGGGAGGAGACTATTTTACTGGCCGTGTCGACATGGCTTATTAACCCCTTGGAGTTCTGTCGGCTTAGCCAATTACTGTAGGGAATACCATTTAACTGTGCACAGCTCTTGCAAAAGCGACAAACCCACTAGTAAATGTTGCCAGGGAGCTTCTAAAATTGTATACTTTTCTTATTATAACTCCCACTCTATATGCGTGCCTACGCTATCAACACGAACCCCGCCTAACCGTCTCTAGCTCAATGGAACGTTAGTTACTTCTGGGTCCGGTTACTCTAGTAACCTTATCTCCTTGCGTTGTGTCATATTCTTTGAGGTTTGCATCCTGGTGGTTTGTCCCGAGGAATGACGCCTTCTACGTCAGCTGGTTTGAATCCGTGTTTGATGGTTCATTTTTATAAGAAGCGCCTGACTCTGGTCTTTTTTCATTCCTTTAATATGAAGCTCCGGATAATCAATGCAAATTGCATATTTTCATAGGGTACTTCGTATGCGGCTACTTCCTCTTTGGCGACTGCTCACTTACAGCGCTACAGATGTAAGGTCCACCTTTATTTAATTTCTTGCTAGTCACCTTGCCAAAGTCGGATACGTCTCCCGGACCTGTTACAAAACGCGCTGTTTACGGTTTCGCTACCTATATAATTGCTTGGGCCCTTTTTGGTGTGTTATTTTTTTAACTCGACTATCTTTACTTCATATTATTACTCTGCAGTTTTAATATGCACCGTGTTGCTATATCTTCGGTTTCTTAACGAGACTTTGCAGTCATGGATTGCATTTACTTACTATTAACCGAATGTGTTCATTTTAATACTACCTAGTCCAGTTCGTTGTACGTGGTTTTTTGTGGAAGTAATGAGCGGTTAGTCCTGTTAAAATATGCTCCTTTTTATAGTTGTATGCAACGTGCCCTTGTCTGTACAACGTTCACGTTTTATTTGTCTGCCAGACAGTTCGATTAATTCCCTCAACAATTTGAGTTGACCCAATTGTGAAAAAACTTGAGGCGTTCGGCGGGATTTAAACCCGCGTATTAGAGAAGGCCTTTGCCGGAAGCCAACGCTCTAAATGCTAAGCTAGCAACGTCCCACCTCGTGCCATGAATTTAATGTTTTTAAACAAGTCATTTGTTCATCGTAATAATAATGTTATTGTATTTAAAAATCGAAGTTT